AATATATTTAAAATAATAATAATCAATATTATAATTTCATCAATAATATTTTCGAATAATACTGTATTATGTGGTTCCCCAACTTTGTATTATTTAAATAAAATAAGAAAATTCTCACTGCTTGAAAACCATGGAATTTTTTGTTTTAAAAGAGAATGATACCGTTATTATCTTCAGGTTTGTGATAAATGATGATCATCCTATTCAAATACTTCGACAACTTGAAACACCTCATATTCAGCCACTCTAAATTTCGACTTGGCACTCCTAATACTTTTCTCGTACATCAATAGTCTGCTATTGCAATTCGAGAAGTTATTTCCTCCAACCCACAAGTCACCAATAATGTGCACAGACGATCCAAACGAGGGGCCCAAATCTCGTGATAGGCATATTGCCTTGCCCTTGTGAATCTCTTTCACCTTAGTGAATACCGAATCATTTATTTTTTCAAAATCCAATGAAAATATAAAACTTTCATTTGTTTCCAGGAACATATCCTTATTTGATGGTGTGTCCCAGTATAATGGATTGTAACCGCCAAGGATTTCGTTGGTTTCATGAGTTTTTAGAAGTGTGACTGTTGCACCTTTGTTGTCACAACGTCGATGAAAATCATTAGCAGAAAAGCCACAAGCAGATCCACGCACTAATATGTTGAAATCATATTGGGTTTCATAAGGTCTTTTATGCATCTTATTGATCCAAGCCTTTATTAATCGAAAATGTATTGGTTTAGCTATTACCGAAGGTCCTCCCTCCAGAGTTGGCACATTAAATATTGAGAGGATTGACGAAGGCGTTCGTGCGATTGTAGGATGAGTGATCTCCTGATGTTGAGATGTGGCATATTCACACTGTTGAGATGACACCATTTCCGACGAACACGTTGATGAATCATCATCATCATCATCTTTCGGATACACGAAAATGTCATCATCTTGATTCGGACGAGATTCTAATGCAGATAAGATCCTCTGTTGAGAGGCAGGAAAAGTTGGTATAGTTTTTTGCGATTCAGTCGGTCTTGGATAGTTATGTTGTTTCTTTGGTCCAGGCTTATTTTTCTTTGTCGAGGGAGAATAGTGTTGCTGTTTGGATCGCAGACGACTAGTTCGTGGACGGGACTGTTGATCAGGTAATTGTTGAGGTTGTTGCTTATAAGGTTCATGAGGCTGTGGCTTGGGAGGTTCAAGAGGTTGTTGGTTCTGAATGTCCATATGTTTTTCCATGAGTTCTATGTACTTATCTTGGTTCAGAACCAACTTGTAGGGCTTGACCTTTGCTAAAAAATCGTTGCGATTGATGTTCTCAAAGTTAATATGTTCGATAAAAGGTTCTAACAACTGTTTCAATTTTTCCCACTGATCATTATCATAGTTATTATTGTCCTTTGGTAATTTCAAATGGTTTATACCCCATTCGATCGATTTTTCCCATAACAAAACTTCAGGTAATGACGCGGGTAATTTTTCAGGAAGATTTTCGTAAAAGAATAAAAGTTCATCTTTGCTTTCGACTTTAATGAACTCCGGAGATTTGATTATCGACAGTGGATTATTAAGTATTATGTCATCGCATAGTTCTCGTAGCTCGGGTAGCTTGCCTTGGCATTCCCTGTTTATGAAAAAGTACAATCCACTTAATCGATGCTTCTGAACGGCTAAATGTTTAGTAATGCAGTCTATGAGATTGGTGATGCCAAGGTCATTTGCAGCTAGCATTAATTGGACAAGGACTTTTGGACCGTGTGATGCAATATCCAATTCTCCAACATATATATATCTGTGAAATATCGAGGAGTATAAGAGGACATGAACAAATAACACACGAAATGCTCACACGGAGAATAACTTACTTGAGAAGCATGTTAAATGTTTTAGTATTGATGTTTGGTAGAGAAAATATTATTTTACGGTCAACAGAATGTTCTTCTTTATTGGACCATATTTCCGAACGAAAATATGGTGACCGAGTCCACAAGACTAACGAGTGCACATTGTAAACTTTTAGTTCTTGGCCGACATGAACCTCTACGTCGGCAAGTTCGCTGCCGTTACTAAGGAGAGTGCTGTAATCTTGCGAAAGTAACTTTAACAATTCCGTGGACATGGCTTGTTAAACACTTTTGCCTTTGTATCCTCATTTGAATGACTTTACCGTTACACACGTTTAACGTAACACACACGTTTCATATTACAGTATCGTGCGCACCCAAATCATTCATGTGACTTTATTATACGTACAAAAATGTCAATCTAACAATAAAATACTATACTCTATACAAGTTGTATGTGTCTACTTTGAGCGAGTTAAATGTCTTTGGTTTAGCACCCCTCTCGAAGCGTACCGATTTAAGAGACGCTTCACATTATTCATACCCGTAACAAAATCCAAACTCAAACCATTGACTGACCGACGCTCACACCAAATCAAAAATATTTCTAATTCACGGATACCTACCTCATAATTGACTGGCAAACTAAAGTGTTTCAAATTCCTGGGAACGAATTGGCCCATCTTTACGAATCCTTCGTTGAATAAGTCCCTCTCGATGATGTTAATTTCTAATTTGGAGCTCTTATAAGAGCGAACAAGAAGGAATTCCAGGCTCGGACATCTCATAAAGAATTCCGACATTCTCAAAATCCAATCTTGTGCAAGCGGACCCTGAAACTCGATCAAATTTGGACAAGTCATCACTATCATTTCGTTGAACTCTACCAGATATCTGACCTCGGCGTCAGACTCAGGTTCAGCCTGTGGTATCGCGAAAATATTGATTACTCTAAGCGTACCGTTGGTATTTTTTATCAAATTCGTCAGAGGCGAGAAGTGAGAATACTTTAAATTATAGAGATTAAGTTCCAGTGTATGAAGTGACGAAAAATATGGGGGTACAAAATCTTGAATCTTTGGTTCGAAGCGATTCAAACACGGTCGTTCCGCGAATCTAGAGTCTGGCCAGGATGATGGATTTTCCGGGTTCGGAAATAAATTCATAGAGATTCTGAGGGTTTTCAGATGTATAAAAGGATCTCTTAATGAAGTGAGAACAAAGCACATGGGATCGAGTTCCAAATATTCTAGGTCGCCGAGTTTTCTTTCCAAGGCGACATTAGTCAACGAAGGAAGTAACGAGTTAGCGGCACTTATCTTGAGATACCTCAGTTTATCTTGAGAAAATATTAAAGCCGACCAAGCTCTATCTTCTTCCGGGCGAAAGATTCGTTTATATATCGTGATGTTTCTGATAGACTTGCATACTTTTGCCAAGTTATTCAGCAACAATGGATTGGTGTTTCCCATTGCCTGGAATGTCGTCATCTTTGAAAAGGCGCCAACCATTCCACCAAAGGGACTGGACCTAAAGGAAAAATTTGAAAACAAAGAGAACAAACCCCCTTTTCTAGGTTCCAGATTAACATTGAATGTTATCAGCTTTGAATCATTGTTTGGGCAAAATTTATAATTAAGAATCACGCGCTCGGATTCATTGTAGGAAAGCTCGACCAACTTTGATGATCTGACCAAGAACAATTGAAATAGCTTTTCCTCGATTATGTAACTTGGAATTAAAGTTTTCGTCAACTCTTCGGTCGGTGAAATGCGCTCGGGAGTGGTATTCGTAAGGTATTCGGTGATTTTAATGATGTTTGATGTCCAATGAACAATTGACTCATGTAACATTATTATATTAAGAGATTTGAGAAAAGAAATATAATCAAAAGCTGTCTGCGATCTCTTGCTCCTCAATGTTGCACTTGAATCACACAACTTCTCTATTCTCACTTCGTAAGGAATCTTGTACTTCTCGAGCGATCTCCTAAACGCGTCATCCAAACACTCGAAATATGTGTTTATGAGATCAACATAATGTCTTTTCTCGTTGACAAAATTGAAAGGTTGCTCCCAAAGAAGAGGTATCGAGATTCTACACCACTGACGACTCACCAAGGTGCACGAGCGAAGTGTCATTGCGTTTGCGCGCGTTTGTCTTTGACTGCTTTCCGAAGGCCACGCAAAGTTTTTGAATATCTCTAAAAGGCATTCTTCCGGTAGCCTGGTGAGCATCTTTGTGGACAGCGAAAAAACAGTAGTAAGAAAGCGCGACGTTCGTTACGACGTTACTCCAGCAAATCCCTTTCCAATTATGTAAAATAATGACACGTATGAAGTGGCTTAAACTGGAACTGGTTGGCACTTGTGTAAATCTATTTCTTTATTTATTACACTCGGTAGTATATTTTAATATCGGTATTTCTGACCGCGAAGCCGTTGGTTTGTTTGAAAGACAAAGCTGCAGCATATAACCTTAATTTTGGAATTAAATAGCAACAGCCAATAAAGACAATAATTTGATATCCGAGAGATAAATCTCAGAACAAACGCAATTTGAAAGCATATGAAAATCAATTCACACAACAAACAAATGTAACGTTTATTTAATTGTATAGACGTTTTAGCAATAACCTCGCGCGATGTATAAGTTTCGACCATTATTTCTGATCAATTTTGTATGACGACCATTATTTTCACTTACTAACTCATGACCAGCGAGAAATGACATGTCTCTCACTAAAATTAACATTTAATTCGGATGTTACACGCATACCACCTTTACACAATCTTCTACCTATTGCTTTCTCTCCAACATACCGTGTGTCCTTTGGGACATTTCCGACGGAATGAAGCGCAAAAAAAAATTTTTTTTCTTTAGTAGCACGGTCTGCCTTTGCTTCACGAATTTACGACTCAAGTTTTTGCGTCGTTATTATACACTATGATATAATTATAACATCACTTAGGTATTTCTATCGTAACAAATTTGATTATGTAACAAACTATCATACTCATTATTCAAGTTATTATATATTATTATTGAATATGATTAAAAAGACTTCATTATTGATTAATTTGATTTTTTTTTTTAACATAGATAAAATCTCTTTCATGTGCAACTTGCAATAAATTAAATGTTAGCTTGCTTATAATAATTATTTAACCTCTACTAGAAAAGAATGATTATTTTAATTTTATCTTATTGATATATTTATTATATTTATTAAATTATATTAAACCATTAAAATTACAATGTATATACAATATACAGTATATATATTATGTGTTAAAAAATTCTTTAAATAAATTTTGAACCATTATTTTTTGTTTATATATAAATTAATTAATAATTAAAAAATTAAGAAAAAAATTATATAAATATATTTTAAAAATATAAAGGATAAAACCATTTAAGAAAAATTATTAATTATATATATATAGTATATTATAACAATATTATTGGCCTTAAATTTTAATATAAAAATTAATAAAAAAATAAAGTTTTTAAAAATATTGTAATAAAAATTTATTAAATAAAATAAAAGAAATGTAATTTGTTTAAAATCAATATCTTTACAAAAAAAAAAATTATAATAGATATTTCAACTCTTGTTACTAAAACATTTATTTAAAGCAAATTCAATTACTCTTTATATATTTCTAATTTTATTTTTAAATATCATGATTTAATCTCTTCTAATTTTAAGTAGACAATTATAGCTGCTCATTATTATTTAATAACTATACTAGTTTAAAATTTTTTTTCTTAATATAGTTGGATAATTACTATAGGAAAATTAATATTTAACTTATTGTAAAAACATTCTTTTTGAAATATATATTATATAATAAATAAATAAATAAATAAATAATATTTTTTCACTTAATATATATACGTATATACATATACAATATATATAGTGTGTTAAAAAAAAAATTGAAATTGAAATTGAAAACATAAGACATATATTCAAGTATATCGAAGCAAAAAAACAAGTAATTCAAATAGTAAACATAGTAAATATTATTCTTTGTTCAGACCAGGATAAAGAACCAATTGATTACATATAACAAGTCATTAAACTATCTTGTGATCTTACCAATAGAATATTTATTGTTATCAATACCAACAAATGGACAAAAGCAATTACTGAAGCCCTTATCCTTCTATATAATCTTATCTAAAAGCTAAAATACAATACAGCCAATATATCTCTCTTTATAGGAATCATTTAGAATCAGAATATCCATTAATTATATAAAAACCTTTATGTTAAAAGTCATATATGAACTCAACAGTTACTTAATTTAAGCACAAGCTCAATACCTTGTAAAGAATCCATCACAATAGATCTACTATTTCTCGTTGCAGACAAATTTATACACAATAATCTTAATCCCTTACTTTGCTTTAAAAATTTAATATCCAAACTTAATCAAACTACTACTATTAACTCTGATTAGGTAATCATAACTGCTTAGTATCATCTTTGATATATATAGATTTTAATATTTATTTTCCTGTATTACTTTGATAAAGTATGTAGGCAAGCTAGTATTAAACTTATTAATTCAATTATTATATAAAAGATGTTGTCACTGCTCAAACCAGACTCCGTATATCAAAAAAAACTATTCGTCGCACCCTAAAAAAAGAAAATTTAAGATCTTGCATTGCACGCCCGAAACCACTAATCTCTCCCATTAATGCATTGAACAGACTTACCTGGTGTCTTGCTCGCAGGGACTGGACTGCCCGACACTTCAGACGTATTCTTTGGTCAGACGAAACATCTATTCAACTTTTCCAGCAAGTTCTCTTCCGAATTTGGCATGAACCGCATGAAGAATGGAACGTCGAATGCCTAAGCTGTACTATACATGTGGTAGAAATAGGTAGATCCTTGACGCAATTGACGCAATTATTTGACGCAATTAATTGAGTCAC